TAACGAGTAATTTTGCCCCTGCTCTTTTAATAGTGCAATTTTGTCAGTGATCTTATTTTTGAAGTGTAATTTTGCTCTTTATCTTTTATTTTTTAGGTGCAATTTTGTTTCTAATATTTAAATTGCATTAAAAAAAAGATCAGGGTCAAAATTACATCACTAAAAAGATAAGAGGCAAAATTGTACCCAAAAAGATAATATTAGAGTCAAAATTGCACCTTAACCCTTAAAAAATATTACATTTACTTATGCCGTGGTACTAGTTTACTGCATATATCGCTGCCACCTTAATGTACAATTCGAACTTGAATTCTTAAGGGATATAAATAGATACATGGAAGGTGACCATTGATATGAACTATCTAGATTGAACGCTTTTCTCATTTAGAGAACTTTGATATTATATATTTTTATAATTAAATTGTTGACCATTTTCTGTTTTGGACCTGAAAGAGATTGTGTGTTCCTCATCCTTGAACTCTTGGAAAAGAGCACAAAACTGAGTTTGAGAATTTCATAACTTGAACACAGTTCCAAGAATGTGAATATAATATTCTTCCAATTCTTAATATACGACCTAATTTAAGAGTTTATGTTAGTGTTATATGTAAGACTTATTTTAAACGTTTATTAATTTTTTTAAATTACCCTTATTGATATTCCTCCACTAATAGGGAATTAAGAAAAATGTTTAGTGTGTTTTAGAAAAAAAATCATATTACTTAATTTAACTAACATCTTTAATATACTCAAATTAGTTAATTATTACCAGAGGAGTACTTATTACAAGGAACACATCCCTTTACAATATTTCGAGAAGTACAAAATTGTACAAGAAAAAATATGAAACCAAAAGGGACTGACAAAAATAAATAACAGAGAAAGCAATCAAAAGCAGCAATCCAAAACACAAGAGTAGCGGAGAGCAACACAACTACAATGAAGAAAACAAAAAGAGACAGAACAAAGTTAATATTAGGGACTACATTTAAATAGAAATGAAGAAACCAATAAAAACTCATTAAAAAAAGAGGTATTTTGCCAACTCACCATCCCTCCCAGAAGCCATCACCCCTGCTCGTGGTCTTCTGGCGAGCACTCTGTCTTGGGTCCCAAGAAAAATCATCCTTTGAAGGATACCCCACTGGTGGAGGAGCACTCACAGGCGGCAGAGGCGGAAATGCCATCACCGGTGAAGGATATGACACTGGAAATTCATCATATGACACGTAATCTCATTAATTAATAATGTTAATCCCATTTACAAACACAATAGAATGATATAGTAGATTAGTAGCATTTTGTGGAAGAGAAAACTTACCGGGAGGATCTTTTTGGTTGTAATGATGATTCATGGTTTTTGAATACGATGCTCTTCTGAGTATGAAGATGCAGGAGACCCGAAAATGAGAAGGGATTGAGATGCTATATAATATAATGCATATATATACGTGTGTGTGTATATCGGTATAGGTGGGTGAATGGTGGGCGGCGATGAACTGTGTGAAAGCACGTGGGAGAAGGCAGATTCGAGGAAGGGGTCGACCTTTCCATGTCCAAGGTTGCTTAATGCTCTGTGTTTCCCTCTCAAAGTTGACAATATTATCAACTGTGCCAGATGAATGCGATAATGTTTTGATTGATCGACTCATTTTTGGCTGTGATTTTGTAGGGATTATTTAAAAATAATAATAAAGAAATGAAGAACAAAAAGAAAAAAGAGAAACCAAAAAAAAAATTAAAGCGGTTAATTTTTGCGGGCAAGACCGACCCATATTTTTGCTGAATCTTGGAAGATTTGCATTATCAGTTATAATCAGTTGTATGTTAGGTGCCCAAATTGGATTTGATTGCACTGTACGTGGAGACATGCTTAAATGTATGAATCAACTTCAACATGCTTTAGTGATTTAGGCGTTATAAGTAAACCCGGAAAGCAATGTTCATAAATAAATAATGAGATTAGGAACAGAGAGGCAGAGACGAAATAGATATATGATAATGAAGGATTTTGAGAAGGAGATTGCTAAGTTATACGCACACAAATATATATAGGTTGGAGGCAGCGGCAGCCAAGGTAGCTCAATGGAAGGTTCGAATAAATTATGAAAGCACGTGGTGAAGAAAGATGAATGTGAATACCCTTTATAATATAAGGCTGCTTCTTGCTCTGTTTCTCTCTATTTATATACTCAAAGGACACAAGAAGAGTAAGCATATTAATAAAAATTTGTCATTGCAAGTGTAAGAGGCAATGTACTTTCACGCTAACATTTGTTGTTTCATTTAGAACAAAACCAGGGCTAAGGAAATGACAGACGTTGTCATCATTGGAAGTAATAAAATGCGATGGGAAGAGATGCCAGTAACTACAGGTATTAGTGGAAAAAGATATCATCAACTTGCTCATATAAGTCAACAAACTAATGCAAAGATATCAATTTCAATGCTTATCGCAGTGATGAGCATCATAATACTCATCACTACAATAAATCTAAACTATTCAAAATTTGTTTTAATAGCGTAGATTTAAAATTTTTAACCAGTGAATTTTAAGTAAAAAAAATTTTTTTGAAAAACTTACAATTGGGATATTAAATTTATTTTGGATTATGTACCTATTAAAAGAAAAATATTTTTTTAAAAACAAAAATATTAAATATTAAATCTTGATCGTCCATATTAAATTTGAATTGTTGAGATTTGATAAGTATCAACGCTTAAATAATTGTTGTATGTCTGGGTTTCTAAAAATACAAGTCATGCGCATTCTTATTGTCAGCTCACTACTCATTAACTCTTGCATTATTTTATTCGATACTGCAGTTAAATGGGTGTTTGACAACATTGAAAAGTGCTTCTCAGAAACACTTTTTCATAAAATAAGACAAACTCCTCCACATATTTACTTCGTAAACCGTAAAAGCACTTTTGAAACCATAGTTTGGTTTCCATCCAAATACCCTCTAAATTTATGTACAGTTACTTACAGTACAAATCATTACAAGCCAACTATACGTCCATTCACCTGTCTACATTATCGGAATATAAATGGCCACTACGTCTGCGGGGCCTGCATTATATTCTCATTATAGATGGGAACGTTTTGCGCACGCCATCCGTGATGCACAATGGATAAAGGCCTCTTCTTATTTTCATTTTAAACCTTGTACTGTGAATATTATGAAAATTTTAGGAGTTACATGTTGAAAGAAGAGTAAGTTGGACGAGCAAAGTATTGTTCGTCCGTGTTTAACGTAGTAATACAGACAATACCTTTGTATCCTAGGAAAGGAACGAAATGCGCGACAAATGAAAGACAAGGTTAAATGTAAAAATTAAAAATTATTTAGTTATTTGTAAAAAAAAAAAGATTGCATCGGTATCATTTACATGAAAACTTCCACTATTAACCAAATCTCTCTGCCTGTCAAAAAAAAAAAAGATCAAATCTCTCAACTAAATCTTATATTTAAGATAGAACAGGGTACATGACACAAGTCAAGGAAAACATGGGATTAGATCTCGGAAAACAACTATCAATTGCCCGGGGTCAACTATGTGTGTGTGCGTGTGTGCGTGCCGCTCATTATGGTAAACCATACATTGCGTCTTTAATTTCTTCCACTAATTAATGTGTATCTTTTTTAAGGCCAATTCCAGAAATATATACCATCATCCATGTTCGTTTTGACAATATACGTGGAACAAAGTAGTGGAATATCACAGCCGTCCGGTAAACCAATAAGATGCATCAATATCTTGTTACTCTGTGTTCAAGAAAATGTAGCAAACAGGCCAGCCATGGCTTCAGAGATCCATTATGGGGAAGGTATCTCAGAAGTAACAAGATATATATCTTGTGAACAAGATAGTACTACTAGCTCTATTCAAACATCATCATGTGAACGAGAATATACTGTTTTAAGCATAAAAAAATGTGTCCTCTCAGTTAATTACTCCTTAATATTATGCTGGCTAACTAGGTGTTGGCCTTGAAGGTGATATTCAAATGCTCAGAAGTTGTGCAACTTCCATATTTACTATACAGGATGTCGAGTTTCTCTCAACATATCCCAATTTTTGCTGCACAGGTCACTATGATTAAAGGTTTATACTTCACACGTTCCCTGGTTCATCTTCGTTGCACGTTGTAATTTAGAATTATGTTGTATTAAATCTTGTTATATATTGTTTTTTCGTTGGCCACCAAAAAGAACTATTTCAATCAGAATTTCATTCCTGTTATATGCTCTGCCAGGCTGCCATTTGAAAAACATGCTTAGACTTTTCATATTCTGAGATGTATTAAGCGTGAAAGGCGAGTTTTTATTTGGTTTTCATCAAGACAAAAGCATATTATTTATTGTATGCACCTTCTGCAAGTTATTATTTATTATTTTTCAGACCAACAACCGATGCAAGTTCAGAAGTTGGAACAGTTAAGGGGAAATGCTGAGAGAATTACACTTGACTTCTTTTGTGTGATGAAAACTTTTGGAGTGTAAACTTTGAGACACATAGTTGAAGCTTTCTGATGTTCATGCTTAAACAAGTTTGCGACCAAGGCTATATACTTCTGACTGTCACATGTTGGACAAAAAATCTAGCGAGGACAAAAGTCACACAAAACTAACACCTGAAAGCTGAGAAACTTGTTAAAACCGGGTGATTAATCATAATAGAAAGGGACCCTCTCAAATCGAAGATTGCAGCTGAATTTTATAACCCGACCACCAATCTTGTTCTCCCAACAATCTGGGATTTTTGAGATAGCGTTCCCTAAGCAAGCGTCACAATCTCTCCTAGACGAATCCGGCGAACACTGAGCAAGACCATACACAATAGTTTCAGACTCATCACCTATCATTTTGTATCCAGCAGCGAACTTAAAGTAGAGTCTCCAGAAGCAGCTTTACTTTTCAGACTTCGCATCAGATCATTAAGGGCAATTGTGTAATGTTCTGCGTCTTCTGCATCTTGTGGATTGTTAAACTGTGGGAAAAATCAGGAAACCGATATATCCCCAACAAGGAACGACTTGAGTATTGAAAAGTGCTGATGTCATAGTATCCAAAAGCGTCCTTCTGATATGGACACAGCTTTGGAAGAAGGGTTTTGGCATCGTTGATGCATTTCTGGCAAGAAAATGGCTCCACATCACCTCGGGAAAGCCCTTGTGCGTGAACTTTATGTAGAAGCCATAGTCAATTACTGTGTCGAGAGTGAAACTAGAAAGAAGAGCATCGAGGTTGGCGTCATAGGCACTTGGCTTTATGTAGGTTCCTTTGCCAAGTGAACAATTGTGATAAACGAAGCTGGGCTGGGCAGCAGAGAGAATGATAAGATGATGAAAGAAGAAAACCGGAGCCAAAGAAATGATACAAGAGGTTGCCAGGATTGGAATGGAGTGTGATGAGGGATATGACTGTGTACTTAATTTAGCAACGATAATAACATCCTCAACTTGTTTATGCGGTAGACAAGTCAACAAGTTAATGGAAAAGATACAAATTATAAGGTCAGATCAATAGTCACTAACTCTTGCTTTATTAATTTTTTTCAATAATGTTGTTGATTTGATGCACAGCACATATCATTATGAGCCACTCAACTCAAGAATTTCCACGTTGGGATTTATAAATGGAGCACATTCCACATATTGCTTGCCGATTTTAATATAGACTATCTAGAATAATTTTAAATGGTCCAAATCAAACAATTTTTTGTTTTAATAGATATAGAATTTAAAATAACGGTTAATGTTCTTTTTAATTCTTGAAATTTAACCTCATTTTAGTTTTGATTCCTAAAATTTGAAATGATTTAGTTTTGGTTCTTGAAACCTTGTTATCAAAACCAAATATCATTAAGTGGACCAAACTGAAGACAAATCTCAAGGACCAAAATTATTAATTTTAAATTTGAGAAACCAGATCAAATTTCCAAGGCTAAAAATGGTATCAATACTTTAAAATAAATATAATATTATATCTGAAATTTAAAAAAAAACTAAATATATTATTAAAAAAATGACAGATTAGAATTTTAAATTTAAATTATTTAAATTAGATAAATAATTTAGATTCTAGTATAACAATGACCACCTGCATTCATTGTCATTGCAATGGGCGGCTATCAGAAACCATTAATTGAAGCCCACTAGCAGGGTTTCCATATACCCATTGTAGATTGCGACATTTTTCGTCATCCGTGATGCATAGCGCAAAAAAAGACCCAAGGATTCCATTTTTGACGTCTTTTATTGATGATAAATAGCACTGAAAATTTTAAAAGCAAGCAAGTGATAATATTATGAAATTTTTTAAGAGTTACATAAGATTTCCGTACATTTGGTGACCCACTCGGACCACGCCCCCTTTTGAGCTAGAGGAAGCAGTGGATGATGAATGGAGATGATTTTTCTTTTGATTTCCTCTTTGTACGTAGATTTTCTGGTCGCAATATATTGATACAGTTTCATGATCTTTTTAATAAACTCATCCAACTTTGTGTTTCTCTATCTAAATTATTTAAGTTAGGGATAAACTCGAAAAATATTATCAGTTTAAGATAGATTTAATGTTTTAACAGTCATTCCTTAGTCGTATTGAGAATTAGTTTAAAATGCCATATAATAAATAGGGAAAATTAATCTATCAGTCCTTATAGTTACATCAGATTTTGAATCAAGTCCCTACATTTTTTTTTTCTTTTTATTCACTCCTTATTATATGCTCTGTTGCTTACGCAAGTCCCTCCGTCTATGAAATACGAATTTGCCGTTAGTGGAGTGACATGGCTGTCTTACTAAGCACAAACACTGGAAAGGAATTGGGTATGGGATAGGTGAGAGAGCCATAGGAAAATAAAAAGGTACAAACACTGTCCTCTATTTCAGATTTCGGCCATCTCCATCTTTAGTTCTTCTCCTATGGCTTCTTCACCACTTTCACCACCACCGCTCTTTCACAATCTGAGCTACTCATGGCAAGTTCTAAAAGGAGAAACTTCATCTCAATATCAGCACCATTGGAAACTTCATCTCAATATCAGCACCATTGGCCATATCGACCATGTTAAATACTATTATTTTGTCTTCTCTAGTCCGTACAAATCGTTCCCCAACCTTCAAAAGCAAAGCCATAGTTGAAGTGAAATTTCGATGAGACAATAAAAAAGAGAATGAGTATACAATCTTTTTCTACTTGGTACGTGTAATAAGCTATTTATAATGGTGGAGAATTGTGGAGGGGTTAATGAAGGAAGAGGAGAGATGGGATGTGGGGAATGAGAGTTTGGGGAAGTTTAGAGAGGAAGGAGGAGGAAGAGTAAGAAGAGGGAGAAAGTATGAGCTTGGAGGAGTAAAAGCCGTTGCCAATCATCATTGAAAAATCCCTAAGAATGTGGGGGGAGAGAGGGGAGGAGAGAGAAGAAAGTGGTGTGGGGAAGAATAACCGAAGAAAAAAGTTGATGTCAATATTTCTTTTTGTGTTAATGTTTGTGCTGAGTAAGATGGCTACATCGCCCCCACTAACGGCAAATTAATGTTTCATAAAAGGAAGGACTTGAATAGATAACAGAGGATACAATAAGGAGTGAATAAAAAGTAAAAAAAAATGTAGAGACCTAATTCAAAATTCAATCAAATATAAGGATTGAGAGATTAGTTTTCCCTAATAAATACCAGAGGGAGTATAAAATAATATATCCTGGACTTAATCTTTTAAGTTGTGCACATGCTGCTCATTATTTAGCATGTTTGCATAGCTTTCTACCATTAATTAATTAATCTGTACCTTTCGGGGCTAGTTTGTGACCGTGTGGTTTTTTTAATAATAATAATAATAATAATGACAATAATAAAATTATTATTATATTTGCTATTTTCCCCTCAATTTGTTGTTGCACATTTTCTATTATTCCTTTTGTGTATATTCGTCAAGATTCGAATGGTATTGTTCAATTAATGAATCGTGCTAATGTGTGGCCCACAAATTAAGAATATAATGCATTGGTTCAATTGATCTTTTTCATATAGATCATTGAAAAAGCTTACATAAAATATTTGAATAGGGTTTCTTTATACATTTATGGTAGGCTTCAAATACATTAAAAAAAGGGGAAGGGGAAATAAGTATTGTACACACAGATATATATACATACATATATATATTATTTTTTAGCCATTAAGCTCTTTACAATTTACAAAATAAAGGGAAACTAGGGAAAAAATTTCTTCATGGCGAATGCCCTTACAAAATAATTTTGTTGACTTTCTCTCCAAGAGAAAAGTTGATATTGGGATTTAATGAATTTAATGGTAATTTTTTTGAAAATTTCAGAACAAAAAATTATCTGTAATAAATTCTTTTAATCAATGTAAAGTAGTCAGGTTGGAGTTATAATAAAGAGAAAAAGGAGGGTACTAATATACTGTATAAAAACTTAATATCCCAAGCTATGAATGGGGTGTTAAAGCCATTTATTGCTTTATGAGAGAAATACCTAAACTTATTTAGTTAAAGGATCTTAGGAATTAATTATAGCTTAAAGTCAACATTGTTATTTAATTTTCCATTCAATTCAAGATTTTTTTTTATCCATATCACATTATTTTTTGGAATCAAATCAAACCGCACAGCTAAACTATCACCCGAAGAGACAAGTAGCCCATTCCAACACTTTAGATCGTTTTGAGTTTAATGAGGTTGAGACCCTTTGAAGTGACTGTTGAGTTGAAAATCGATCAGAGTGATTTTTAGAGACGGGGCAAGTTTTAAACATGTGGTCCAATTTTTAATATATTATTGTGGGGAGAATCCTTTTGTGCAATCAATTCAAGTGATGAAAAATTTAACTGAAATAGCAATATTGATCAAAACCAAGAAAGTATAAGTGGTTTACTGGTTTTACTTTAAGTTTTTCGAAATGTTTGTCAGTTTGCAAACTGGGTTTGTCACACTTATTGAGAAGTTTATTGCAAAATATCATGATACACTTTGAATCAATGTACTACCTCCGGTTATTAAAAGTTCATAAGTTAATTTGAGTAAATTAAAGAAACTAGTTAAGTTAGTTATTTGTAATAAATAGATATTGTGTTTCCTAAAATATCTTTGCTGATTAAGTGTATTGGCTAGAACTACCATTATTACAACAACTGTCTTAGAAAAAAAAAGATAAATATGAGAAACAAAATGGATATGATCTTATATTTAGAACTAAAATAAAAGTCAAATAAGCTTTTATATTAAAGACTAGAGGTAATATAATCATATTTTCTATCATTTAAAAAATATATTATTTTATTTTCTCATAAAATATATGGATATATAGAGTCAAGCGAACCATCCAGTAGGATAAAATGGAAAGACAGAGATGAATTATTCTGACAAGCCGTTGGAATTTCAGGAGAAAAATGTGATACTGTTTTGACGGGGAAATGGCAAAAAGCTCCGAGAGAATCTTCAAAGAGAATGGGTCCTGAATCATTTTATCCTTGTTTGTTTCTGTTTTCTTTTTTTCTAATTTTAAAAATAGTTTTATATATATAATGACTTTTTAAAATTCATTTGAAAAAGATTATGTTTCAATAATTGTTCTAAAATATTTACATTTAAACAAATAAAAACTTGTTTGGAATAATTGTTTCAAAATCAACTTGCAGAACTGATAGAAGGTAAGAGACAAAGTAAAGACTATGGTCCCGTTTGGAAGAGAGGTGGAAATTCCGCATAAGCACGTTTCACATAAGTCAAGAAATAATTTTTCTCACATACTTGCTTCGTATTCTGTAAATCACTATTAAAAAACTACTTATAAGCTATTTATAAGCTATTCCAAATGGGCCATATAACAATAATGGATGAATGGAGAGTTGGATAACTAAGAAACAATATAAACAAATATGAGAAACAAAGTGAGAAACATGACTCCAAATGAACAAAGTGAGAAACATGACTCCAAATGGTAAAAAAAAAAGTAGAGAAAGACAAAAAAAATAGAAAATAATAAAATATGTAAAAATTGCTTTGAGTTTCTTTTATAAACACTTAATTAAAAATTAATAACTAAACAATTTTTTTATTTTTTGTTTTTAAAAACAAAGTCGGTTCCAAAACAAGAAAATAAATAGGCCTTTTTTTTTTAAATCAAAAGGCGTCACACACGCTTTGATTTTCACACACCTTCACAACCAATTGAGATCTTGTTAGGTATAACACTTAAAATAACTTAAAAGAATGTTTTTCATAAGTTAAGACAAACTCCTTCCATATACTTATGTCATACTCTGTAAATGGATATAGATGGCCTAGGGCTTACATATAGCTTGTCTTCGTTTGAAATGGATATATATGGAGCCAAAAGCAAATACTCATAAAGGTAAAGATGAATGAAAAAAAATTAAAATACAATATCGTATATTTTTAGAAGTCTTCAAGTTGATTTAAGGGGGAAAAATTATGATATATGCATGGTGCATTAATGTAGAAATGGAAAGTGGTAGATGAATTAATTCGAATTTATGGGGTAAAGAGGATGAATCTTGGTAATTCGTTTGGTGAAATTAAAAGCTAAGGATTTTCTTACCGAGCTTGTCTCTTGCTTTTATAGGTTGCTAATTAATACAAAGGAAATGAATCCTTTATCCTTGTCATTTATTTGTTGAAATTAAAATATACTCCTCCAGTCTTTAATATAAGACCCATTTAACTAATTTTATTATATTAAGGAAGTTAGGTAAGTTAGTTAATTATAAAAAAAGCGACACATTTTTCTTAAAACACCATAATCATCTTTCTTAATACCCTCTCTCCCTCTTCTACTTGATTATGGTTGAGGGAATATCCATAGAGGCAATTTAGAGAAAATTAATAAATATAAGAAATGGGTCTTATATTTAAGATCAAAATCAACTCAAGAATTGGATCCTATATTAAGAATCGGAAGAGTACATATATTTTTCACTAATGTAGCCCCCACTTGCATTGGCTGCCAATTAACTTGGTGGAATCATCAGAAATCAAAGGAACACGCGGAGCAACATCTATCCACCTTTATCAAACCCCACCACCTCCTCCCTAACAGATAGACGTTAATCAAAGATACCAAAATTCTTATCCATACTATGAGAATGTTTTACTAGGTAACTAGCATGACCATTATCTATGTTTCAGAAGACCTATCAATCCCTAAAAACAATTAGTCTGTTGGATTTGTAAAGTAAGTCAGATTAAATATCCTTATTAAGGATTTTTCATAGGGAAAATAACATTAATATACCTATTGAATTTTAAAAAAACAAATAAATTAAATTGACTACTCTTGTAATAGTTTTAACTATTTTTATAATGATTTTGACATGTCAAAATCCGTCAAAATCACCTATCTATCATTTTGAAATTCATGAGGTACTTTTTTTTTTCTTTTCAATCTCCCTTTTACGTATACGTACACTATAATTTTCATGCCTTCGCCACCAATTAATGTCCTCGTCATAGAATTCGAGCCGTTGGATGCAATCAACGGCTCGAAACAGGGGCATTAGAGGGTGCAGCAGACACCCGCCCTTGCTTTTAATATCTAGCCAGAAACAACTTACTACAATGTAAAAACTCTTAGAAAACATAACAACTTACAACAGTAAGCAAAACAATGTGCATACACAGCAGAAATATTAATAAAAGCAAGTAACTAAAAAATCAGGCACCAATACCACAATCAAGGCATTAACAACGGATTAATGCTCTGCTTTTCTCCATGGCGAACACGTTTACACACTAAGAATCCTTTGCCATTATGTCACTCTGAAAAAGCACCTTTGTAACCATTAACATGAGTTATTTCTATAGCTCTTTGTATTCTTTTATAAACCATCCCATCATCCCAATGTTCTGTGTGCCTTTTCAAAACAGCTCTTCAACTAATTATCTGTGAGTTTTCTTCTTTGTATGGTTCAATCTTAACAATGGCAGACCCAATTCCACCGACGAAGACGAAAGGGCAGCAAAAGATCGAAGTCAAAGCGATGGAGGACGCTAAAAAGCGCAGTGTCACCTTCACAAAACGTAGAGCTGGCCTTCTTAAGAAGGCAGACCAGCTCTGTGCTCTCACCGGCGCCGAAGTGGCTCTCATGGTGATCTCTCCGGTAGGCAAGCCGTTCACGTTCGGCAGCCCCGACGTCGACGCAGTGATAGCGAGGTAGAAGAGTCAAGTGCCACAGTCACCGACGGTGGATCAACAGAAAGCTGAGCTTAAGGAAATTATGGAACAGTTCGCCTATGAGGATAAGCGAGCAGAGGAACTGAAGCAAAGAAGGAGAGAAATGCATAACGAAACGTGGATGGCTGCGCCATGTCAAACTCATTCTAAGGCTTAGCGAAAGATCATGAAGGAGCGACTAAGGCAATTGTGTAAAATATTCTCTCAACCTCCAAGCTTTTATAACTTTCTTGGGCTGTTCTCTGAATCGCCTCCGGATTCGACATTTGAGTTCCCAACTTGTTCTTTTACCACGTTATTGACTCAGAATCCGGAGCTCCAAGAAAGTCCGAAGCTTTCATGTGGCCCCGGTGGAAATCAGAATTTTGGAGGTAACATGATACTTACACCACCTCGTAACTTCTACGCCGGTGAATTGTCATCCTTGGTGATGCCAGCCGGGACTCAGAATCATATCTTTGAGGATAATATGATGCTGAACAATCATGACAACTTCTCCACGGGAGCATCGTCGTCAATGGTGCCGGCGGGGACTCAGAATCATATGTTTGATAATAACATGATACTTACATCCCGTGGTAACCCTTACCCGGGCGAATCATCATCGTCGGCGCCGGCGGGGGCTCAAAATCATATGCTTAACGACAAGATGATGCTGAACAACAATGACAACTGGTACACAGGTGAATCATCGTTAATGGTGCCGGCAGGGACTCAGAATCATATTTTTGATAATAACATGATACTTACACCCCCTGCTAACTTCTACGCAGGCGAATCATTATCATCTGCGCCGGCGGGGGCTCAAAATCATATGCTTAGCCACAACATGATGCTGAACAACAATGACAACTTCTACACAGGTGAATCATCACTAATGGTGCCGGCAGGGACTCGGAATCATCTGGCTGATTATAACATGATACTGAACAGCCATGGCGACTTCTCCACAGGCGAATCGTCATCAATGATGCCGGCGGAGACTCAGAATCATATGTTTGAGGGTAGCATGATACTGAACAGCCATGACAACTTCTTCGCAGGTGAATCGTCTTCAATGCTTTGGGCGGGGACTCAGAATCATATGTTTGACAATAACATGATTCTGAACGGCCATGAAAATCTCAACACAGGCGAATCGTCACCAATAGTGCCGGCGGGGACTCATCAGAATCATATGTTCGGGGATAATATGATGGTGAGCAACAATGACAACTTCAACACGTGTATCCTCGTCAATGGCATCAGAAAATCAGGGCATAATGTTTGATGTGACATGATGTTTGCAGCTTATGATAACTTCTTTGCAAGTGGATCCTTGACAGAAGAACTGGCTTTGAATCAATTTATTGATGAAAACATTATGAATCCTCCACTGGATACCTCCGATACATATCAGTCCTCGACGGTGGTGCCACCGGCTGGTGAGAATCAAATATTTGATGAAAACATTATGGTTCCTCCGCATGATAATTACCACACGTATGAATCTACGGTGGTGAAGGCGGCATCTGATGATGAGAGTTTGCTTTTCGACGAAAACTTGAGGTTCTTTCTGGGTGATGAATTCTTTGCAAGCAGTTACGTACTCTATGGTGCCGCCGGAGCAAAGTCCAACGTTTAATGAAAATGGGATGCCTCCGCCGCCGCAGCCTCCGCCTTAGTGATGAATATGGTTCTGGATCTTTAGGGTTCAACTGATCTGCTCCTTCGCGTTTCATGTTACTGGCTGGTTCTGCTTCAGTGTCTGAGTGTTGATGAGTTGTACTTTTTTTTTCCTGCCATGTTCTGACCAATAGTGACAAGGGAAGAGATAGGGCTCAGTTCAAAAAGTTGGAGAGAGTATATATAGCCTCGGGCCTAGCATAGTAGTTTGTCTTCTTCTGAAAGGGATATATATGGGTGCGTGTGCGCGCGCCTGTGTGGAGCCAAGAGCAAATACCCCATAAGGGCAAAGAAGAATTAAAAAAAATATATCGTATATTTTTACAAGTCTTCAAGTTGATTTAAGAAAAAAGATACTGTGTTCTGGTCAAAAAAAAAAAAAAGATACTGTGGGGCATTAACGTAGAAATGGATAAGTGGGAGATCAATTGATTAGGGGTTAAAGAGGATGAATCTCGGTAATTTATGTGGTGAAATTAAAAGCTAAGGATATTCTTACCAAGCTGATCTCTGCTTATAGGAATCAGTTTCGGTGCTCATCTCTTTGATGAGTACTATAAGCTCATCAGATCTGAACCATCTATATCTCATTTGAACAGTCCAAATTTAAAATCTTTAATTAATTATTTTTAAATAGACTAAACTATTTTTTGAAAGAATGATAATTAAGAGATCATCACTATTTTAGATTTTATACATATTAAAATAATTATTTTAAATAAATAAAAATAAAAAAGAAATCAAATCTAAACCACTCAAATGAAATATGAACAGTTCAAATTTGATTAGCTTATGATGCTCATCAAATGGATGAGCACCGAAACTGGTTCCCTGCTTATATAGGTTGCTAAGTAATAGAAAGGGAATGAATCCTTGTCATTTATTTGTTGAAATTAAAAGATACTTTTTTTTTATGAATATAGTCCCTGATTGCTTTGGCTGCTAATTAACTTGTTGGATTTTTTTTTATTTGAATAAATACCGAAATCATTCCAACTGATTTGTTAGATAATCAGCGTAAGAGGTGGAGGTGGAGGTTAATTAATAATGATATAAAAAGTTACTATGCATACCATGGAAGTATTTTCTTAGATAATCAGCATATCTAAGATCTTCTCTATAACTATATTACAACAAGACCCGTTAGTCTCCATAAAAAACAAGCTTGTTGGATTTGCAAATTAAATACTCCTCCAATCCTTAATATAAGACTCATTTAACTAATTTGATTAGATTAAAGAAGTTAGGTAAATTAGTTAATTATAAGAAATGTGACATATTTTTTTTAAAATACCATAATCATCTTTCTTAGTACCTCATCTCCCTTTTCTACTTGATTATGGTTGAAGGAGTATCCATAAAATTGATAAATATTAGAAATGGGTATTATATTTAGGACCAAAACTAACTCAACAATTGGGTCCTATATTAAAGACTAGAGGAGTATCATTATTGAAGAGTGAACAATAAAGAGAAACAAATCTGGAGGAGCCCTCCAATACATTATCGTTTAATGTTTTTGAGTGAACATTATTGTTTAATTAAGACCAGCTTTGTATGGTATTATAGAATAAGAATTCGAATTAGTTTGATATAGGATATAAGGGTATATATAAATGATTTTCAAAAATTCTATCATTTGAAATAAACTCCAATGTCCAATGCTTAATAATTTTCTCAGAAAAACTAACACTTAAATATCTAAATTAGTTTACCTTGTATAACATTAATGATGATGATGATGGAGAAGCAGACGCTGCTCGCATGAAAATCTAGCTTAGATAGTTAACAATCACAGAACTATTAAAATAACACTCATATTCTTAATATAAGACCTATTTAACTAATTTAATTAAATTAATAAAGTTATATAAATTAGTTAATTATAAGAAATATGACATTTTTTTCTAAAACACCAAAATCATCTTTCTTAATATCCTAGCCCCTTCTCGTACTTGACTATGGTTGAGAAAATATCAATATGGGGTCATTTAGAAAAAAAAAATTGATAAATATGATGAATAAATCTTACACTTAGCATCAAAATCAACTTAACACTTAGGTTTTACATTAACGACTAGAAGAATACATTATATTATCTCATAATAGTTGTCATCATTGAACATATATTAACTTGTTCTTTCCTCTTTTTTTTTTTTTTTTTGCCCACTTGTTAAGATCTTTCACTACTACAAAATTACGCTTATTACTTGACCCTTCATGAAGCCGGAGATGCTTTGATCTGGCATGAATTGCGGGTCGGACTTCATTATCACAATAAATAACAAGAATCAAGCTGAATGATCACAATAGAATCAAGTTACGTTCCACTCCAAAAAAAAAACCGAGCTTATATATTCAGCCTGCCTTGTTAACGCAACATTTCAACTTTAATTTCTTGATCCATATAATGCTAAGATTCTTTCCTATGAAAGTAAAAAGCATCACTACTGCATACAAAATTTTTTACGTTCGTTGGTTGGGAAGAGCTTTTCATCATATTGGTCTGGGAAGGGTAACACATGAGTGTACATAATAATATGTTCTAAATTTATATCGGTAAAACAAAATCACTTTCTACGTCCAACTGATGTAGACACACTTTAAAACACTAGTTTAAAATATTACTCCTCTAATTTTTAATATAAGATCTAATTAACTAATTTGAGTAGATTAAGGATTTTAGTTAAACTAGTTAATATGATATGTTTTTTCTAAAACACCCTTAGCATCTTTCTTAATTCTCTTCCTCACTCTCCCACTTGATTATTGTTGAAAAAATATCAATAGGGTTAATTTAAAAAAAATTGATAAACATATGAAATAGGTCTTATATATAGGACCAACATATTAAATCCCTAATTAGCTCCTATATTAAGGATTAGAAAAGTAGTTCCGGTCCTTATATAAGAGTTAGATAACCAATTTAAAAATATTAAATAAATTAATTAATTTGATTATTTGTCATAAATATGTATTGGTCCTTAAACTATTATATTCAATCATGTACATTGAATAATTGAAATTATTTCTTGCTATAACCACCTATAGTCAATATGAATATTTTAAAAAAGATGAGAGACAAAATTAGTTAAAATTTTATATTTATAATCAAATTTAACCTCTCAACTCACTTTTATATTAAGAACTGGAGTTGAGTTGAGGGAGCACTACATAGTAATGAGAGTTTTTATGCTGAATAGATGAGTTAACCTCTGGCTGCTACTATCTTCTGATAATTACTAAGGTTTTGGAACCATTCTCTTAATATTCCTGTCAATCTTGAGAGGACAGCTGAAGTCTGGTCTGATCCCCACGCGGGAGGATTCTTTTTTCAGGAGTTTGGAGGTCTTTTTTTCTGTTTCTTTTTATTTTTAACTGAGGCAGAAAACTTTTTCATGTGGTCGTGAGTTTGTGTATCTTTTCGATAGTTCAAGTTCAACGCCCAATAAGCATCGTATATAGCACGCACCTCAGCTGCAGATCTCTCTTTTTTTCTCTTGTTCTTTGCTCACTCAGCTGCAAATCTTTCGAACAGAGATAAATGCAAGCCAGAATTTTAAGGTTCCTTCCAAGAACCTTAATTAGTACTGTAGTACATATGTTTCAGAGCCTTCAACAAATCAAAGACATTTGGGTGCGAATGACTATCTGAATCTGTTCAGTGTCTTGATGAACAGGAATTGGTCTCAATCTAGTTTAGCTATAAAAAAAAATCTCCTATCGCTTGTTCCGGTCTTGATTGATAACATAACTAAAATGAGTGCAAAGCTAGGTACTCCTTTAATACGACAAAGCCCTGTCTTTCTTTTAGGGGTTAATATAATTTTTGGTCCCTTATGTTTGTTCTCATTTTGGTTTTGATTTATAAAATTTCAAACTATAGATTTTAGTACCTCAATGGACAAAATAGTCTAATTTTTTTATTGAATTACAGGGACTAATGTTTTAAATAAAAAAACTTTAAAAAAACCAAAAAATATGGTTTGAAACTTGAAAAATCAAAACTAAGATAAGGAAAAATTTAGAGGATTAAAGTTTATGTTAACTCTTTTTTTTAAGAGAAAAACAAGTACAATTCAAAATCCCGCGATGCAAATCACCAGAATCAGAAACAAAAACATGTCGTTTTGGCCGAAAAAAAGAAAAGAAACAAAAACATGTCTATATAGAGCCCATTGGTGTGCGGGGCAAAGAAAGATAAGGCCGATTGAAAGGTCCATTTGAATAACATTGAGGGCTTTCACCAAATCAATAAAAAGAGTTGTACCCAAAACGAAAAAGAATCAATAAAAGCATTGATTTTTCTACATCTCTCGTCCCAACAAAATTTAAGACCTTAAATAGCGTTGCCAATTGTGAATTCAAATCCCATTGCTAATATGAGGGCCTTGTTAGTAAGTTATATGTAAAAATTTTATAAGCACTTTTTGAATTTGGAGTCATATTTTAACCGTAATAAGCTTCTAATACCCAACTTACCTAAACTTTTTTTTTTGTATAAAAGAAACAATAATATTATTTAGGGTGATATCCAAGCTTTTATATTTTTTTCCCAATAAAATCTCTTTATCCAGCTACCATGTTTGTCTCGAATAATGCAACCATAGGTGGCAGATCCTCTATGATTAACAGGGCCATGACCATCTAACCTAACCAACCAAATTGGAGTGGTATCCTCGTGATATCCATTTTATTCTTTTGCATTCTATACAAAAGTTACTCTTCCTGTCATTAATATTAGACTTAAATATTAAGTTGATTTTAGTTCCAAATATAATATATATTTCTTACATTTATTAATTTTTTTAAATTATCATTGTTGATACTCTTTTAACTATGATCAAGTAAAAGAAAGAGTAAGAATATTAAGGAAGATAATTACAGTGTTTTAATAAAAATATGTCATATTTCTTATAATTAACTAATTTTTTTAATTTTTTAATCTAATCAAATTATTTAAATAGGTTTTAGTTTGAACTTTGAAGGGCTTGATTAATTGATAACGTCTGTGATTTTTCATATTTTGTTTTTTTTGCTACAAACTTGAAACGTCAGTGAACATTGTGATGTTGGATCTGGTCTTTGATGATCAAAGTTAGAGAAGGCTTTGTTAGGAATAAAGTATTGGGCTTTACTCAATCCGTAATGAGGTCGAGCCATGGTGCCAAATTGGGCTCAAGTCCAAAGTGTCTCAGCTTTTAGCAAACGCATGATACTCCATCTTTGTCGAAGACTTTGATTTGATTCTTTTTTTTCTCCCTTGGCCAACGAGTTTAATTTGGTTCTTAATATAAGATCTTATTTATTTTTGTATATCACATCAATTATCTTGTTTCGAATAATTCCTATTTTTCAGGTGTAACATGGTATTCCTACTTAATACAACATTTTTATTGGGGAAAATTTAAATGAATGAATGTCAATAGTCCAACAAACAAGAGGAGGTATTTCAGCGACCAATTTAAAATATGAAAAGTTAAAAATTACAATTTTTTTGCCAAAAAAATTACAATTAATTATTAACCAGTATATATTTAATATTTCATAAATTGCACAAAAATGAGATCACATTTAAGGTTTTTATTTGCAAAAAAATTATTAATACTGAATTACTAGCAAGAAGAGAATCTTTAATATTATATCCAACAATACACAAACGCGTGGCATACGCATAAGATAATCAAGAAGTGAAGTTGCAAATGAATTTATTGCATACATATCGAATTCTCGGGCTCTCAAGTCTCACCTCATCTTTAATATATTTTTTTTCATTTTATATAGTTGAGTTTCCATTGAATTTATTCTAAATTTAAATAATCCTGGACAGCTTACCATATTTACTGTTTTCATCCTATTATCAAGTTTAATTTCCTAAGGAAAACGAGTGATGTGAAGGATTATCCTGTTCCCTTGATATTTGTATATCTGAAAATCTTCTCAAAGTGTGAAAACTGGTATGTAATTTATTGAGTTCATTATGGCTCTCCCCACATATCCAGTCTGTCTTCGCTTTATTAAAAATCACTACTATAAATGATATTCATCTCATTAATGTCTATAATATTTTTTAGGTATTCGATTGATTCATATAACAAGATTTTATATATTGAGAAAATCATTCGGAAAGATGTAAGAAAGTTACATATATTTAATTTTTGGAAAAATTAATCTCCATGTCCTCGTACGTGAACTACGTTGGGGGCTTGACCGTACTTGGAACTGTAGAAGCCATGGTCAATAATTGTGTTGGAAGTGATTTTAGAAAGAAGAGTATTGAGGTTGGTTTGATAGGGACTTTTGTTTGGGTAGGTTCCTTTTCCTATGAAACACTTGCAAAAACCGAAGTTAGGCTGGCCGGAGAGAACTGTAAGATGAACTAAGAACAAAACCAGAGCTAAGGAAATGACAGACGTTGTCATAACTGGAAGATGATGAAACGTGATGAGATGAGATGCCAGTAAACTACAGGTATTAGTTAAAAAAACATCCTCAACTTGCTTATATAAGTCAACAAACTAATGAAAAATATTAGTTTAAGTGCTCATTGCATCACTGCGGTAAAATCTAAACTATTCAAAATTAGTTTTAATAGTCTAGATTTAAAATTTTTAACTAGTAAATTTTAAATAAACAAATTATTTTTAAAAAAAACTTACAGTATGATTATATACCTATTAAGACGAAAATATTTTTTTTTAAAAAAAATATTAAGTATTAAATCTTGACTGTTTATATTAAATTTAAATGGTTGAGATTTGATAAGTATTGTCACTGAAATAATTGGTGTATGTAGCTAGTCTAGGTTTCTAGAAATGCAAGTCACGCACATTCTTACTATCAGCTTGGTACTCATTACCCCTTGCATTATTTTATTTGGTACTGTAGTTAAATCGATGCACAGTCACGTACAGTACATATCATTACAAGCCAACTACATGTCCATTCACATTTCTACATTATGGAATATAATGGCCACTACGTTAAAATATGATCATACTTATTGTCAATCATCAATTTTTTATTTTTCAAAGAAAAATATTAATTTTTATATTCCCAGAGACAAATTCACGCATACTCCTCCATTCCAATATACTACATTATATAAGCCACTTCTTTTTACATAGAACTGATCCTAAATATAAATATAAGCAACATATTTTTTGTCTGAAATTTTAAATATTCTTTACATTTTTTCCCATTAAATATATGTCTTTACACCACTTATTACACATTCTCTCTCATTTACTCTCTTCATGAGTAAGATTATATTTAAAAAATAAATTATATTTCTAACACAATCATTGCTTTTAACTAATTTTAATCAACATTTTGATTTATGTAATTTGGTTAGTTGTTGCTTATGAGAAGGAAGAGCGAGAGAGAGAGCGAGATAAATCTAAAGCATTCATGTGTATTATTAAGACTTGCCATACACGAGTACTCTTTTTTAAAGACACAAACCACTCTACCTATTTATATAGATTTCCATGACACTTGAAACAACCTTGCATTTAGCATAATTTACTCCTAGTCCCAGGCGTGGGTCACTTATTCCTAAACACATAAATAAGCCAAGTTCGTATAGAGATGCACCCATAAGGGTAACTAATATATATTTTGACTCACATTTCCAAGAGATCAGAGTTTAATCATAATAGAAATGAACCCTCTCAAATCGAAGATTGCAGCTGAGTTTAATAACCCTGCCACCAATCTTGTTCTTACAACAGAGTGGGATATCTGAGATCGCCTTCTCCAAGCAAGCATTACAGTCTGGCCTAGACAAATCTGGCGAGCACTGAACAAGACCATAAACGGTCTCAGACTCATCAGCTATTTTGCATCCCACAGATAGCTTAAAATTAGAGTTCCCAGAAGCAGCTTCGCTTTTCAGTCTCTGCATTAGATCATTAAGCGCACTTGTGAACTCTTCTTTGTCTGTTGCATCTTCTGGGTTGTTGAAACTGTGGGCAAATTCAGGATCCAGGTATCCCAACAATGGACGACTTGCGTATTGAAAAGTGCAGAAGTCATAGTACCCAAATGCTTCTTTCTGATTTGGACATACCTTTGGGAGAAGGGTTTTGGCATCGTTGAGGCAATTCCGACAAGTCATCGGATTCACGTCTCCCCGGCACAGACCTCGTACGTGAACTATGTTGGGGGCTTGACCATAGTTGGAACTGTAGAAGCCATGGTCAATAATGGTGTTGGAAGTGATTTTAGAAAGGAGAGTACTGAGGTTGGTTTCATAGGGACTTTTGTTTGGGTAGGTTCCCTTTCCTATGAAACACTTGTAAAAAACGAAGTTAGGCTGGCCGGAGAGAACCGTAAGGTGAACTAAGAACAAAACCAGAGCTAAAGAAATAACAGACGTCGTCATCATTGGAAGATAATGAAATGCGATGGGATGAGATGCCAGTAACTACAGGTATTAGTGGAAAAAGACATCCTCAACTTGCTCATATAAGTCAACAAACTAATGAAAAGATATCAGTTTCAATGCTCATCGCTACGGTAGATCTAAACCATTCAAAATTAGTTTTGATGGTATAGATTCAAAATTTTTAATTAATAAATTTTAAATAAACAAATTATTTTTAAAAAAACTTACAGTTAAGATATTATATTTATTTTGGATTATATACCTATAAAAAGAAAAATATTTTTAAAAAAGCAAAAATATCAAATATTAAAATTTTGACTGTTCATATTAAATTTAAATAATTGAGATTTGATAAGTATTAGCACTAAAATAATTGGTGTATGTGGTCCAGGTTTCTAGAAATAGAAGTCATGCGCATTCTTATTGTCAGCTCAGTACTCATTACCTCTTGCATTATTTTATTCGATACTGTAGTTAAATTGATGTACAGTTACTTACAGTACATATCATTATAAGCCAACTATATGTCCATTCACATTTCCACATTATTGGAATATAAATGGCCACTACGTCTGCGGGGCCTCCATTATATTCCCATTATAGAAGGGAACGTTTTACATACGTCGTCCGTGACGCACAATGGGTAAAGACCTCTTCTTATTTTCATTTTTAACGTTGTTTTGTGAATATTATGAAAATTTTGGGAGTTACAAGTTGAAAGAAGAGTAAGTTGGACGAGCAAAGTATTGTTCGTCTGTGTGTAACATAGTAATACAGACAGTACCTTTATATCCTAGGAGAGGAACGAAATGCGCGACAAATGAAAGACAAGGTTCAATGTAAAAATTAAAAATTATTTAGTTATTTGTAAAAAAAAAAATTGCAACGGTATCATTTACACGAAAACTTCCACTGTTAACCAATCTCTCTGCCGCTCAAAAAAAAAAAAAAAGACCAAGTCCCTCAGCTAAATTTATATTTAAAATAGAACAGGTTACATGACACAAGTCAAGGAAAACATGGGACTAGATCTCGGAAAACAACCATCAATTGCGCGTGGTCAACCATATGTGTGTGTGTGCCGCTCATTATGGTAAACCATGCATTGCGTCTTTAATTTCTTCCACTAATTAATGTGTATCTTTTTTTCAGGCCAATTCGACAAATATATACTACTCCTTCAGTCCTTAATATAAGACATATTTAACTAATTTTATTAGATTAAGAAAGTTAGGTAAATAAGTTAATTATAAGAAATATGACATATTTTTCCTAAAATACCATACTCATTTTTAATTATTAATATCCTCCTCCCTCTTTTATTTGATTATAGTTGAGGGAGCATCAACAAGAATAATTTAAGAAAAATTAATAAATATGAGAAATAGGTCTTATATTTAGGATTAAAATCAACTCAATAATTAGATCACCAGAGGAGTATCATCCATGTTCATTTTGACAAAATGCATGCGTGGAACAAAGTAGTGGAATATCACAGCCGTCCAATGAAACCAATAAGATGCATCAATATCTTGTTACTCTGTGTTCAAGAAGTAACGATATATATATCCTGTGAACGAGATACTTCTAGCTCTATCCAAGCATCATCATGTGAACGAGAATATATTGTTTCAAGCATAAACAAATGTGGCCTCATTTAATTGCTCCTTATTAATATTATGCTGGCTAACTAGGTGCTGGCCTTGAAGGTGATATTCAAATGCTCAGAAGTTGTGCAACTTCTATATTTGCTATACAGGATGCGAGTTTCACTCAACATATCTCAATTTTCGCTGCACGGGTCACTATGATTAAAGGTTTATACTTCGCAAGTTCCCTGGTTCATCTTCGTTATATGCTGTAATTTAGAATTATGTAGTATTAAATCTTGCTATATATTGTTTTTCGTTCGCCGCCAAAAAGATCTATTTGAATCAGAATCTCACTCCGGTTATATGCTCTGCCAGGCTACCATTTGAAAAACATGCTTATATTTTAGGCTTTTCATATTCTCAGATGTATTAAGCTTGAAAAGCGAGTTTTTATTTGGTTTTCATCAAGACAAATGCATATTACTCCTCCGGTCCTTAATATAGGACATGTTTAACTATTTTGATTGGATTAAAGAAATTAGGTAAATTAGTTAATTATAAGAAGTATGACATTTTTTTTCCTAAAACACCATAATCATCTTTCTTGATATTCTCTCTTTTCTTTTTACTTGATTATGGTTGAGGGAGTTATCCATAAGGGTAATTTAAAAAAAAAACTGATGAATATAAGAAATAGGCCTTATATTTAAGACCAATTAACTCAATAATTAGGTCATATATTAGGGATCGGATGAGTATTTACTATATAAACCTTCTGCAAGTTATTATTTATTATTTTTCAGACCAATAACCGATGCATGTTCAGAAGTTGGAACAGTTAAGGGGAAATGCTGAGAGAAACTTGACTTCTTTTGTGATGAAAACTTCTGGATCGAGTATAAACGTTGAGACGCATATATAGTTGAAGCTTTCTGATGTTCATGCTTCAACAAATCTGCGACCAAAGCTACATACTTAATACTTCTGACTGTCACATGTTGGACCGAGGACAAAAGTCACACAAAACTAACACCTGAAAGCTCAAAGACTTATTAAAAAGGGTGATTAATCATCATAGAAGCGGACCTTCTCAAATCGAAGATTGCAGCTGAATTTTATAACCCTACCACCAATCTTGTTCTCACAACAATCTGGAATTTTCGAGATAGCGTTCCCTAAGCAAGCGTCACAATCTCTCCTAGACAGATCCGGCGAACACTGAGCAAGACCATACACAGTAGGTTCAGACTCATCACCTGTCATTTTGTATCCCGCAGCGAACTTAAAAGTAGAGTCTCCAGAAGCAGCTTTGCTTTTCAGACTTCGCATCAGATCATTAAGGGCAATTGTGTAATGTTCTGCGTCTTCTGCATCTTGTGGATTGTTAAAACTGTCGGAAAAATCAGGAAACCGATATATCCCCAACAAGGAACGACTTGAGTATTGAAAAGTGCAGATGTCATAGTATCCAAAAGCGTCTTTCTGATATGGACACAGCTTTGGAAGGAGGGTTTTGGCATCGTTGAGGCATTTCCGGCAAGAAAGTGGCTCCTCATCACCTCGGCAAAGCCCTTGTACGTGAACTTTATCAGGGCTTTGGCCGAAGGAAGAATTGTAGAAGCCATAGTCAATTACTGTGTTGAGAGTGAAACTAGAAAGAAGAGCATTGAGGTTGGCGTAATAGGCACTTGGCTTTATGTAGGTTCCTTTGCCAAGTGAACAATTGTAATAAACGAAGCTGGGCTGGGCAGCAGAGAGAATGATAAGATGATGAAAGAAGAAAACCAGAGCCAAAGAAATGATACAAGAGGTTGCCATGATTGGAATGGAATGTGACGAGGGATATGACTGTGTACTTAATTTAGCAGCGATAATAACATCCTCAACCTGTTTATGTAGTAGACAAGTCAACACGTCAATGGAAAAGATACAAATTATAAGGTCAGATCAATAGTCACTAACTCTTGCATTATTAATTTCTTTTTTCAATAATGTTGTTGATTTGCCGTACAGCACATGCCATTATGAGCCATTCAACTCAAGAATTTCCACATTGGGATTTAAAAAGGGAGCACATTCCACATATTGATTGCTGATTTTAATATAGACTATCTAGACTAATTTTGAATGGTCCAAATCAAATAATTTTTTGTTTTAATAGATATAAATTTAAAATAAAGGTTAATGTCATTTTTAGTTCTTGAAATTTAACCACCCGCACTCATTGTCATTGTAATGGGTGCCTATCAGAAACCATTAAGTAAAGCCCACTAGCACGGTTTCCATATACCCATTATAGATTGCGACATTTTTCGTCATCCGTGATGCACAACGCAAAGAAAAGACCCAAGGGTTCCATTTTTGACGTCTTATATGTGATCATAAATAGCACTGAAGTCCCCCCCCCCCCCAAAAAAAAAATTTTAAAAGCAACTAATAGTATTATGAAATTTTTTAAGAGTTACATAAGTTTTCCTTACATTTGGTCACCCACTCGGACCACTCCCCCTTTTGAGCTAGAGGAAGCAGTGGATGATGAAAGGAGATAATTTTTCTTTTGATTTCCTCTTTGCACATAGATTTTCTGGTAGCAATATATTGATACAGTTTTCATTAAAAAATGATCTTTTTAATAAACTCATCGAACTTTGTGTTTCTCTATCTAAATTTTTTTAAGTTAGGGATAAACTCGAAAAATATTATCAGTTTAAGATAGATTTAATGTTTTAACAGTCATTCCTTAGTAGTATCGAGAATCAGTTAAAAAACGCCATAGATAAATACTAGAGGGAGTATAAAATAATATATCTTGGACTTAATTTTTTAAGTTGTGCACATGCTACTCATTATTTACCACATTTGGATAACTTTCTTCCATTAATTAATTAATCTGTACCTTTCGTGGCTAGTTTGTGACCGTGTGGTTTTATTATTATAATAATAATAATAATAATAATAATAATAATAATAATAATAATAATAATAATAATAATATTATTATTATTATTATTATTATTATTATTATTATATTTGCTTTTTTTCCCCTCTCAATTTGTTGCTGCACATTTTCTATTATTCCTTTTGTGTATATTCGTCAAGATTTGAATGGTGTTGTTCAATTAATAAATCATGCTAATG